GCAACCGATGGTTCGACACACTGGGTGTGTTAAACAGTGGCGTTCGTACATCTTCTCAATTTCTCTGCATCATTAGTCCACTGAACTTCTCAATATTCTCTTCGATCCTACTTTCAGCCTTCTTGTTTTCCTCTTATTTTTCACCCAAATGGGCAGCGACACGACAGCAACCAAAAGCGTCGCACAGAAATGCATGGGTAATGGTTGTTTAAACTGAACTGAACTCGTGTTCGATGCATTCCCAAACACCGGACGACTTACATCTAAGTTACTATCCCGCTCACTCCATTTAATCTGACCTAGACTATGCGAACATCAATTGTCGAAAACTGCTTAACGACGGATGTCTTCTACTCGCAAATTCAATTTCTGAAAACCGTTATTCGTGCACCACCCACAGTTATTGGTTGATCGAACAACAATATCAAGGGATTTTACCATGTATTTTCAAACGAATTCGTATAGGGTTGAATCCTGTCACCGTCGTTCATCTTCCTCACTTCTGTATCTCTCTAAATAGCAACCGCCTTCCTACAGGTTCTCTTTGCAATACCTTATTCAATAAGTGAAGAGGTTGATAAATATTTTTTTACAGTATAAAATTATTACATCGGTTGTTGTGACTGCCGAAAGCTCACTGTTTTTTTGTTATGCGTAGGGGAACGAGTATTCCACAGGTCGGTAGGTTACAGAAAAAAAACAAAGTGAGAAAATCGAGGGATAACACTTGCAGTTCCTTAAATATAGTCCAATAAAATTCTATTCTAGACGATTTTACATTGATTCAAAGCCTCAGCGAACACAGCGTGTATTTGCTTACGCTTTGTTTGTGAAATTCCTGATATGACTTCTTTTCCATGCCGTTTCTTCGTAGATATTGCAAATCACTTGTACAACTGAGAACACTGATTACGTTGTGATATACCTGTAACCTATGGGGTCCTCACGGAAAGCAGTCTTATTTGAAATGTGAGCGAGAATTTTCTTCACGTATCTCTCGTTTTTCCCCACAGGAACTAGCAAACCTCATAAAATATGTTCTCCGAAAATTCTTTGCTGCCGTGGAAACCAACAACGCACTTTTTATTGAATTATTATTTTTCAAGTCTGTTCGTGAGGGTTTCGAAGCGGTTCAAGGTTACGGGACCTTTGAGAACACGTAAGTATTGTTGTGTCTTACTCCATAGTTTTCGTTCCCGCTCGTTACGCTGTCGGATTTTGATGTTACCGACCACGGTTACTTCAGTACTAATTTGAATTATAATTGCATGCATTCTCGATCGGCCATTTGATCAACATTTTACTGTGTTTATCCTATCACATCAATTTCCGCTTTGTGTTCCAGTAAAAAATCTTCTAAATGGAACCCGGAGCTTGATGACGAAGTTGTTAAGCTGTTTGAGGCTTATCGAAACGATCCCGTTCCCAAAGGTGAGGGCGAATTAACAGCCACTTTGCTTCAAACATATCCCCATTGATCCCACGATAAAAAAATAGTTTTAGTTATCCGTTTACCTGGGGGTGATAACGGTGTGCGTTTTTACTATGACCGACCAGTCACTTGGTAGCCTCTAAGTCCGATTTAAACTCCTTTAATTTTCTTACCGGATCTCTAAAGAGTGCACGGCAGATGAATTCCAGTTGAATACGCACCCCATTCCGAGGTGGTAGCCTACCTTTCTCACGACCATCGAGGCTGCACGCTATTGCGGACAGGAAGAAGTCCACATTGGGGGTTGTCAGCGAACGAGTGGGCATTACATAAACGGCCATTGGCGATCGGTTGTGAAAATTGACTGCTTTACTAGGCTTTACTATTGGCAAATAACCTCACTGTTAGTCAAGTCAAGAAACGCACCCAAAGAGTGAATTTTTAGCAATTTACGATTTTTACAGTGGGTATATAGAACCAATTGCGATCCACAAAAGAAGACAATATAACAAATTTTAATAGTGTTGCAAATGAGCGAAAAAATAGCGCAATAGTTTTTCCCTTAGGTGGGTGAGAATAGTCTTACGAATAACCAATAACCGAGCAAGGTCTGAAATTGCACTGATTCTATATGTGGAAGTGCGCGGAGGAAGGAGTTGATATTTGGAGCGATTTCAGATATTCGACAGGGCTTTCACGATTTCTCGTTGCAGACAGTATCCTTGATCATGTGTTATCCTGTGGAAAAAGGTATCATTAGCGTCAAGGTGCTTGGAAATAGTGATCAACCAGAACAACTCCATCAACTCGACGGTAGCGGAACAAAAGTTTAAGGGGTCTAGAAAATAAAGTGATCTTTTTCTTTCATACCAGGGATAAATATCAGGGAGCAGTATAACCAGTGTGGAAGAATGCAGACCATCACAAATTTAAGAATAAGGTTATGTGGTACGGCCAGTTTCCTGAGCCTGTGTGCATAAAAAGACAGTTTTCGGATATCAAGCTATTTAACAAATTTGGGGATACTTTGATTGTTAACTATAAGATCGAGGAGATTATTCACTAATGGAAGATAACGTGGACCGATTTTAAGACTAAATGAAACTTCAATGCACTTATTGGTGCTAAGTACAAGGGATCGGGGCACAGATCAATCGTGAAGTTCAGTAAGGCTATCCTGTGTGAACCAGAGGATGAGCAACCAAACACAATATTATCAGCATACTTGCAAGCAATAAAGTTACTGTGAGTGGGGAGATTCTGTATATACATATAAAAAAGAACGAGGACAAAATAGCACCCTAAAAACTCTAACTTCAATGTTAATAGAAGACGACTGCGCAAAAACCACACTGGTCCAGTGAATGGTTATCAAACTTTTCATAACTGTTATCATTCGTTACGATTATTTCTTCCAGTTACTTGATCTAGCGGCAAACATTTTCCCGCCGCATGTTTTCACTACCCTACGAACCACTTACCACACGTGGCCCATTAAACACGCATCATTTCTGTATTGCATAGCTATGTACACTGTCTGAATAACGAATACCGGCGCTCACGATCGATCGCTAAAATCACTTCTGCTTGCATTGATTTCCTTCATCTGCTGAATTTGAAAAGCTCGGAGAAGGGTTTTCAACGGACAAGTGTTTTTTTCTAATTCTCATCAGAATTTCGCTCAAAATTGTAATAGCACGAATAGCATATTTTGTGTTAGGAGTAAACTCCTTCGTTCCATTCGGTCAATGGATCATTGTCAACTGCCTTTCGACCGTACACGTACACGTACATCTTTCTCTGTTCCACAGGACGCGATTTGGCAGATGTGATTTTACATCAGCTGTCGGATCAGACCAAAACTCGGCGTCAACTAGTTGCACGATTAATTTTCCTGAACATCATAACTTCGGCAAAAGAATTGAAGATGTTGACGTGAGTTCCGTTCATTTTATAGAAATTACACTCAATCTCCCTGTTGTACTAACTTCCGCATTTAAACGTGATTTGCTTTGTTTCTCACTGATTGTTGTGTGAATCGTTGTATCAGCTCGAATCCAAAATGGAAGTGGAAATGTGATTACAATCTGAATTTCTCCTACCCGAAATGAGTCTATTATTACACAGAGTCTATTTATTAGTGCTTCAGAAGAACGAAAATCCTATTTCAGTAGTCTTCAACCTCGCACATGTGGATTTAGTATTCTCTTGAAAAATGAAATAGACGACAGCTGTTACCCATGGATACGGTTCCTCATTCAAAATAAGCTTAATAGTGTTTTTGGCGTATCTCACATAAACTGAGGCGCGATCATTGGGTGCATCATGATTACCATACAATGCTTTGTTCGGTTAGCATCACTGTTAATCTGAACTTTGAGAACTTTGAGGGTATCACATGTAATCTGATATGCGAGATGGCTAACATTCATCTATTCCGCACCTCACTGTATGCACCACCGGAAGTCGGTTAACAGGTGCAGAGTTCGGATGCATAAACATATTAATGATAAGGGATAGATAGTAGTTAAAATCACCTTTTCAGAATGGGGTTCCTTAATTTGTGAATCAGGATCGTTGTGACAAGGTGCAGACAAGAATATCTGGAATACGAAAGCGAGAAAATATTATATGAAAATAATACATCCTATCACAAATTGTTCAATTCTGTGTCCAGATGTCAAATAGCTTATTTGTCTTATTGTTTACGATTTGTGACACCTCAAATCCACCAAATCCCGGCCACATCACGTGGCAAATGACTTATCTCGCTCGCCAAGCAACTTGCTTGTACAGAGGGGAAGAAAACCAAGATTGTTTTTTTCATCCCTTCTCCAACAATGACGCCTGCGCTTTGCCACTTTCAATGAAACCGGAAAATAAAATAACTGAATATCTCTTTACTTCCTTTTTTATTTATTGAATATACAAATGTACAATCAGCTTTCAAGAAGGGGGTCGCGGCCGTACAAAGGCTGTCCGGGAAAGTACACAAATGGGGAAGATGGACAGCGGTAGAGCGGTTCGAATCCGGAACTTCTGAGGCAACATGTGAATGCCTTTAACCACTTGACCACTGCCGCTGTACTTTCGTGTTTTGGTTTCGATTTCTGTGGTTCGTATTTTCTTCTAGTTAGCTAATGAAGAAGGGATTCGGAATAAGATTGCCGTCAAAAAGGAACATGCTTTATTTGAGTAGATTGGCTTAGATTGAACACGTTTAAGAATAGAAGAAAAACAGCAAACAAGCTCATTTGCGATGGGTCATTCACAGGCAAATACCAAAATGTTTAGTGGGGACGCGAAATCATGACAGAACGGGAAGAGGAATAATCAACATTTCAGTTCCTTGACTTGCTTACACTTTTAGGCATCACACACATATTGGTTCGTATCATTAGGTGGGGGGGGGACTATGTCGTGTTTGGAGTGGGTCATGGTCTGTCATTCCACAATATTGATTTTCATGACCTTAGATTAGACCAGATGATAGTTGTTGATTCAAAAGGGAGCTCACCGCGCTTGGTAATTTAGAAAACAAGTGCGAAATTTCAACAAAATGAAAACATACTAGTCTAGATAGGCACGCTGAACAAACAATTTTTAGGAACACAGTTAATCAATAGGATGGCACCAAGCACTAAACCTTTTAATGCGTCCGGGGCCTGGTAAACCTTTCTCGTTATTTTAGGAATAATGTAGCAGAGACAGAAGAGTTCTAAGGAGAAGAATGAAAAGTCCATACTCATGTTATTGCGCATTGTGCTTCAACGATAACTAAGAGCAGATTGTCCAGGTCTAAAATTTTTTATTTCCTTTAACCCCGTCGTTCTCGAATTGTTGCTGAAATAAGTGAAATTCCCAGGTTCTTCCCGACTCTATATTGTGGACCATAACTGATATAGTCATTAAATCCATATATTCGTCCAATTTGGTTATTTATATAAGGCACCGTTCATCATATTTCTTATTCATTCATTTTGGCCAGTTTGTATTTTCCAAATGTTTGTTTTCGCATTTCCTGCCTTTCCTTGATATGGTCCTAGTTTATCAATAAAAAAATTGTTGTTTGGCAGATTTACCTTTTCATATTCGAATTTACCCATCCATGGGTAAATTCGAATGTGAAAATAACAAAATTATTCTAATAAGTAGTTTATGAATGACTAGATGAACAGCCACAGAAACACCCGACCGGTCCTCGCCGCTCGTTGGTTGTACACATCCAGGAGTCCGTTGTCAGGTTTTATTGTACTTATATCCCGAATATGAATTGGGCGACGCTAACTTCATTTGCATATATAAGATAGCCGGTTCGAGATAAAACAACCTCGAAAAATTATTCTGATAATTGTGTTTTAATTTTTTGGGATTAGATGCTTTTAACCTCAGCAGATTATTCAGTGGTCACTGATTGATGCGTAGACTGATATTGTTCTTCAAAAATCATTTGATGTTGCGGCCTTCACTCCCTCAGCGTGCGTGAAAATCTTCCGAAACGTTCAACGCGTGCCATAAATGAGGATGACGCGGCCGAATGGACCGAAGATGAGATCATGCGGTTACGATCTGCCGTAGACGAACATCAAGGTTCCCGAAGTAAGCCAATCCTGTTTGATTCGATGTTTTGCGTATTTGTTGAAAATCTCTTTTGTCACATTCATTCGTAAGGAAGTATGTGCATTCCTG